CCGGGTCTTCTACAAGAACAACCAGTGTTCTTAACTGCTGAGCCATCTCTCCAGCCCCCCATAGATTTTAAAAAAAAAAAAAACTGTAAAAGTGACTGGTACAATACTTTTTAAAAATAATGCTTACCTCTGGCAGAAACTTAATTTTATTTATACTAGTTATTCTGAAAAATTTAAAAGATAATTTTTATGCTTTTAGTCTTAGTTGGTTTAGGTCATTTTGTTGTTGTTTGGAGACTTAATTCTCCAAACCATACAGAAGTTATTCAGATATATTACATGAGATACAAAGATACCTTTATTTTTCATCCCTCGAATAAAGTCAGAGGTGCACATGGAGTGCGTTCCCCAGGCTCTCTTCCATTGCATTCTTTCACATGTGAAGTTGACAGTAGGCATTTTAACAGTTAAATGTTTCCCTTCCCGTTATAAAGCTCATATTTCTACGGTCTACATCAAATAACTGAACAGACAGACTATAACAACATCGTCACTCTACAATTTTAAGAGGATGGGTGCTTGCTAAAGTGATGTCTGACAGACCTTAAGGTATCAGGACTGGAACCTGCTTCCAGAAACAAAACACAGGTGCACAAACAGCTAGCTGATTAGGCTTGTTTTAGACAACACTAGTAGGAAGGAAATGATGAAAACATGCGACCAATACAGAAAGTAGGCATCAGGACTCAGAATAGTGTATTCCTGGCAGTGAGCCAGCACAGGGCGGGCCCCCTGACACTGGAGGTCAAGACCTCGGAGAGGCAGCGTTCTTCTCTGGGGCGACCAGAAGCCCAGATCATCTGAGGCTGTCTGCCAGTGTCCATGCACTTTCACCCTATGCTTGGGGTCAGGGTACTTAGAGCCACCCTCACTGGCCTCCTTTCTCACTTGCCACGTGGATGCTAGAGAGTGTCACCAAGACTGTTGTTAATTCCCAGAGTGACAGTTCACACTGAATAACAAGATGGTCTAAATCCTCCTCCAAAATTATATTTTCTTTGTTCCTCTTTTATGAACATTCCTTGGTGAAGGCAATGCACAGCAGGAAACAGCTACATTTGGCCCAATCCACAGTTTGCTGAGGCTCCCTAGGCTGTACCTGTGTTGGGTGGAACAGCTCTTAGCGCACTGTGTGAGGAACCTGGGGAGACAGGAGCACAGATGGGAAGAGAGAGCCACTGGGCATTCAGCTCACATTTCTTAGAGAGAGCAAATCCGGCCCAGTGGGAGGGACACAGACAGTGCTTCAGAGAAACAAATACTAAACTACTCATATATTGTTATATTTTTTTAAAAGAAAGCAAGATGCATTTATTAATGTATCTGTGTTTGAGGAGCCTTAAAAGACCACCTATTTCTGCTAACTTTCAGACTCTAGATAATAAATTGTCTGTCCAAATTGGCAATGACATGCCCTGTGTTTGAGGTCATCCGACATGAGGTAGCCTCGAGCTGAGGTCAGGAAGTCGCCAAGCATGTCCATTTACTACAGTTGTTTCATTTCAGTCCACCGGCTTTGGATATTGGAATACTGGATATCTTTGGTTTCGAAGAATTTCAGAAGAATGAATTTGAACAAGTAAGTAGGCCTTCTTTTAAAATCTTGTGAACGCTAATTGATTTTTGCACCATTATTTCATTACACGGAGATACAGAATTTAAAATATTTTATTATCTTTATTTTATATGTGTGAGTGTATTTCCTGCATGTATCTAAGTGCATCTACATCATGTAATGCCTACAGGGGTCAGAAGAAGGCATTGGATCCCCTGGAACTGGAGTTACAGATGGTTGTTAGCCATCATGTGGGTGCTGGGTACCAAACCAGAGTCCTCTGCAAGAGGAGCCAGTGCCCTTAACCACTGAGCCATCTCTCCAGCCTCAAGATACAGAATTTAAAGAAGCATTTTCTTGTTTTCAAGCTGTGGCTTTGTAATTCCTCACATGCTCACCTGCTTTGAATCCCTGTTTCAGCCCAGTGTTGTAAAGGCTGAGCTGTGCCTTTGAACAGCAATGTGAGCTGTGTTGGGAAAATAGAGAACAACTGAAATCAAGAAACAGCCCCCAGAAAACCTTGCCCATATCAGAATGCAAGTTCCCTGTTATGCCTCATGCTGTCTTGTGGTCTCATCTTTGCCCAACATTCACACATAGGGTTATTAGAAATTCACAAAGATACATTAGATAAATATTAGTTCTCTTTACCTACAATTTAAAGTATTTTTAAGAAGCACTAATTTGTTTAGGCATCATAATAGTATTCCATGAATGGTTTATTTTTTTAACAAATTAAATATACTTAAAGATTGTATGTTTAAAAAGTGTTGAAATACAAGTTACCTTATCAAATGGAGAAACAAAATAAGTCTATGGAAAGATCAAAACCCATGCTACACTTTACTATACAAAGGATAGTAATTATACAGCATTTGGAGAACATTTAATTTGTTACTGCTTCATTTTTGAGCTTCATGTACTTTGTTTAGCTTTATTTTCTTAAAATCTACAATATGGATATCAATGATACTGAATAAGGATTGATATAGAATATATCTGAAACCCAGTTCTGTAACTTTTAGTAGCAAAGATGTCTAGCTAAAGTGGCAAGTCTATAATCAGCCTGGCATTCCTTATAAAATCAGGGTAACAGACTAACAGAGCTGTGAGATTCCACACATACTCAACAGAGGCATGTTGGACATCCCACTGCACATTTTTCTGTTTTATGTGGAAAATGTAATACTGAGCAAGAGGCACAGAGAAACTCCACGTAGTGATGGTAGAATCAAGAGTTCTCAATAATAGCTGGAGTTTGAGAGAGGGTTGATGCCCAAAAGAATTCTCAGCCCTGAGGAGAAGCAGGGAACAGTTTATAAAGCCTAAAACCAGGGGCAAAATTACATTACAGGGGAAAAAGTCAATAACCATAGTTATATCAGATCACCATAGTCACACCAAACAGGTGATAGGTCAGGTTTTCAATTAACAAAGAGTTTCTAAGTTTCAGTTAAGAAAAACAAGTTTCACAAAATTGCAGAAACAGTGGGCTTGTGAAGATGCTGGGAGGGGACATACTACCTGCCTATTTGTAAGTTTCTGACTATTGTGGAAACAATGTATCCCCTGAAATTGCCTGAATGAGATGGTCTGCCTAGACGGCTGCAGTTAGCAAACATAACTGGGGGTGGAGGGTTTGCATAGAAACATAGGGTAAAGCAAAAGTCAACTACAATAAAATGGAGTCAGTTTTGCCATTTCAGAAACAATGCAAATCATTTGGAATTCACCCAGTTTTATTCTAGAACAGTACTGTATAGCCTATGTATCCATCCATCAACATGTTGTTTCCCTCAATCCAGGCCGAGTGGATTGGTTTGAAGCAAGAACACAAAGATCATGGGTTCATCCTTTCACACACTTTCACACTTGAGTAGAAAAGAGACTCTTCAGGCTTCTGTTTATTTGTTGTTTGGCAGGCACAGAAGGCAGGAGGTGTGAGCAGGAGAGTGTGAACACACTGTGCCAGGTCTGCAGACAGGTCTGTTGAGCTTCTCTGCTCCATGTGTGTTTCTTGACTCTAGCTTGGTTAGCTTACTTCTTTACCTTAAAAATGGCACATCTTCATGTCTTCAGTGACACCCTCTATTCACCTGTGTCCTGGCAAGTAACACGTAGAAATCACAGTGGAATGATGCCCTGTGAGGGAGGGTCTGGCCTCCCACACCATTGTTATACATCCAGACTCCATTCTGCCTGCTCACAGCTGACACCTATGGCAATCATATCGCCTCCTTATTAAAACATAGGCATTGAGCTACCCTTACGTGGGCCCTTGATTCTTTCTTTCTCCTAAATACATTAATGATATATCTCAGAATATATTCAGTTTGTGATTTCTGGGCAACAAGGAGGGACGTTATTTTCCCCAAATCTAACAAATGAATCAATCTTTGGTTTAAATGCTAGAATTAAGCACCGATAGGTAAAATGTCAAGATCAACTCATAGGCTTCAATTATGAAAAAGGTAACTATTTTTTAATATGACATTTTCTTAGCAGGTTTGCTTTGCTGTTGCCCAGAATGGCAAATAGCAATCGTCTGGAAGAGTAAGGCTATTTCTTACTATGAATGTAGACCTTATCTTAAACTAGATGCAGCAAATTCCTAAATTTGCATATGAACTTTTTTTTAAAGGCCATTGGTTTGATTCACTCTGGGTTCCTTTGCTGCGAGCAGAGTCGACATCTTCGTTTTCCATTGCATCACACACTTTCACAAAGTACGCAACAAATCATTGCTGGCTTCACAGTCGCTCCTAAGGAGATATTACTGCCTTTATAAGCATTCATTTTATTCTGTTTTGAGCTTATTGACTGAGCATTAGCTATTGACTAGAATGCCAAGTCTTGCAGGGTTGAAATTGTGTCTGGTACAGTGTTTTTATTATAATGGAAGTTTGCCAAATATGTTTGCAGTTCAATTTAAAGAAGAAAGGCTTGGGAGGAAGAAATCGTCACTGTAGAATTCCTCATGGTTCTTGCTCTATAGTAAACATTTCTCTATGGGAAGCTTAAGGGGAAAGGTTAGAAGAGAGACACCATTGTGGAAAAGTCAGGAAGCTCTCCATGGCCCTCTGTGTCCACCTCATTGTTTTCTGTCAGCTCTGCAGGATCAGCCTGATGCTATATTTCTTACCTTTTCTGTTTTCTCTATCCTAGTGGCTTGGGCTACTCTCACAAAATACCTTAGGCTCTGTAGTTCATAAACAATATGTATTTATTGCCCACAGTTCTGGATTCTGGAAGTTCAGGATCAAAGTATCATTGCTGCCAGATTCTGTATCTGGCAAGGGCCTGTCTTCACAATTGGAGATTTCCTTTATGTCTTTACATTGTGGAGTGCACGAACCTCATTTCTGACAGCTGTGACTCTATTCACAAGTACAGCAACTCTAGTCACATAGAACCTCACCACTTTCTAACACCATGGGGCTAGGATTTCAACATAGGCAGATAGTGGGCATGGAGACAAACTTTTGAACCATAGTAAACTTTTAATGAATCATTATTTCTTGTATGATATAATGAACATAATTTTATAGGTTTCAAAGCTCAGCAATGGTTTTACATACTTTGGTGAATAGATGTATGCTGCTGTAGTCTATGATCTGATGAAAGGAGGAAGGGTGGAGAGGGAGGATTGGGGAGAAGATGGAGGGAGGAAGGAGAGGGAAGGAAAGAAAGGAGAGTAGAGGGAATGGGAAGAGAAGGAAGGAAACTTACGTAATGAGTCTTCATGATCCAACCAGTAATCAACAAGAACCAAAGACAGAAGAGCTTGGTAAGAGAACTCTGCACAACCCAGTGTGAAAACCTTTAGGATATATAACCTTCTTTCATAGAAGATAGAGTGAAAATTGTGGAAGACTATAGACTAAACTATTCCAAACAGGACATCAATCAGTTAATGTGTGAACATTATTGGGTCCTGACTTGTTCAGTGTAGGAGACTGTAAGCTGATGCAGATAACTCGGTGTCTAGATGCTAGATGACATACAAATAACTCTTATGCCCACTGACTCTTAGGTGAGGAAGTTGAGCTTGTCCAGGGAATGGGCTGTCTGTGGTCCCAGGGTTGGAGGCCTCAGCTGGGCTCAGCTGACCTTTACTGGCTCTCTACAGGAGGCCTCTCTGCCAGGCTAGTTTGGCTTCTTGTAATTCCTTAGCCAGTTCCCTCTTTGGCTCCCCGAAGGAGACAGGGGTAAGGATCCAGTATCCTGATCTGTACTCTGGCTTCTGAAGTCATTGAGTCTAATCCTTCTATGGGCTGAAATGCGGGAAGAGAAAACTATAGATTAAAACTATTCCAAACAGGACATCAATCAGTTAATGTGTGAACATTATCGGGTCCTGACTTGTTCAGTGTAGGAGACTGTAAGCTGATGCAGATAACTCGGTATCTAGATGCTAGATGACATACAAATAACTCTTATGCCCACTGACTCTTTAGGTGAGGAAGTTGAACTTGTCCAGGGAATGGGATGTCTGTGGTCCCAGGGTTGGAGGCCTCAGCTGGGCTCAGCTGACCTTTACTGGCTCTCTACAGGAGGCCTCTCTGCCAGGCTAGTTTGGCTTCTTGTAATTCCTTAGCCAGTTCCCTCTTTGGCTCCCCGAAGGAGACAGGGGTAGGGAACCAGTATCCTGATCTGTACTATGGCTTCTGAAATCATTCAGTATAATCCTGCTATGGGCTGAAGCAAACCTGCCCAAGTTCATGCCGGAAGGCAAGTAGAGACCACCTAGTGATGGAGAAGGGGAGGATTGGGAAAGGGTTAATGATGAAGGATACTATTTTAGCTTAAACGGGGCACCATTCATGTGATTTTAACAACTCTCTCCTGAAAGGTGCTCAATATCAATATAGACTGATTGCTGATCAACCAATGTACATGTATAATCAAACACTTTCATTGTGATTTTAAGTCATTTCACATGTGGATTCCAAAGCCATGTTTACTTTACATGCCCAACTCTTTCTTAAAACATTTCTGTTCTGGGCATGACCTTTTCATTTTTT